TTGGCCAGCCGTCTGGCAAATTTGCGAGGATAGTTTTCAGTAAACGTGGACCTGTTGATCGTCTGACCTTGGTAACTCACCTGTCCCTCAATCACTTGGTGCTCATGTTTGTGGTCACATCGCAATCCAGTCAACATGTTAACAAGATTTTGTGAAGTGGACAAGATTGTGAGGCTTTTCTTGATGAGTTTGCCGTTCACTGGGTCTTTCAACTCTCCGGCCACACACAGATCGATATCCATGGCAAGCAGATAGTACAGCACCTCTTGCAGATACGGCAGCTTGAACATCAGTGACCCCTTCGGTTGCTCCCAGTGAAAATGATTACCATGTTTACGTTGAAAACGAAGGATGGCAATTCCCAGGGCAATCTGTTCAAGACTACTCAGGCGCAGTCGCTGTAATTCATCCCAGGCCTCCAGAGACTTGCTTCCATTCAAGCAGGCAAATCCACTCCAGGGTCCACATGTTGGGCTGAACCAGACATTCTTGGGTTTACTCTGACACAACCGCTGAAAGAGAAGTTGCCGGCCCTGGCTTGTTTGCAAGTCCCCCTGCTCAAAACCAAAACGATCGGCCCTAAGTCCCAGTTGCTGAGACTGTTGGGTCAGCTGGCTTCTCGGCCCACAGAAAACTTCCAAAACATCTAAACGTGTATGGTGACTGGATGTGGTCTTTTCAAAGTTATCAAGTTCATGAGTATACTGACGGATGAATTGTTGAAGTTTGACTCGTTCATGGTGAGTTTCTGGTGATTCAGGCATGGTTGTGGCTTGGAAACAATCTGCACTGTGGTCGCCAGCAGTGATCATGGCTTGAACACTTGGGCATTCGGCTGCACTCACTGTGGGATCGCGGTTGCGATGCTCATGCTCTCCAAATGATGGAGAATGCTGGCCAGAGCACTTTCGACTCCCTGCATGCGGTTCTCCAGGTTCTGGATCTGATTGATGTTCTCCGACGGCATGTCCTCGTGGATCACCTCGAAGAGCTCCGGGTCTTCCTCTTCCAGATCCCACACGGTGGCTTCCATCGGGCTCCTCGCCATGGGTTTGGCCTTGGCTTTGGGGATTGACCCCTGGCTCATGGATGCCGTCGGGGTCTGGCTCACATGAAGGATCTTCTCGACCTCCTTCTGGCTGGTCAAGGGCACCGCTGCTCCGGTGATCTCGGCTCGTTCCACCTTCAGTTCCACGAACTTCAGAAAAATCACATGCTCGGCCTTGGTGGAGTTGGCAAATCGGTTGACGAACCAACTCACCCATGTCTGTTCGTTCTGCCAGACTTCTTCGAATGTCTTTCCATGGTGTGCCTTTCCAAAGCTGATCTTCTTCTCCATCAAGTCCTGCAGGGAGAGGTGTGAGAGATCCGGCTGGCTCTCCAGGAATGGGATCTGCACCTTCTGAAGTCGTTGACTGAGGTTGGACATGGCGATCTTTGGGGATCACACGAAAACTCGCAGGCAGGGTCTTGGGCCTATCTGTGCTTAGAGTTACCAAATCATGCATGCTCATGTCACACTGTGGTGGAAGATTATGTTGGCCTCGACCTTGGAACATGAGCTGGCCGTGTTCTGACTTCCCTGGAGCATTCGGCATCATTTTGGCTTGTCTGCTCTGGTCCGGATTCGGTACATCAATGGTCGGATGTGTTTCGGCTCCGAAGAATTGTGTCTGGCCCGGTTGTTGTTGGGCTAGATCATTTAAATCGAGGAGAAACAAACCCTTGCTGGTCAATGTCAGGGAAAAACTTTGATTGAGCCTTTTCGAATGCAACATCTGCGATTCAGTGTCAATCGTGGCTCCTAACGTTCTCAGCAGGGTGTTCGACAGCAGCAACGGTGTGGATCCGGGGACCACTGCAATCTTCAAAAGCAGGCCATGTATGGGAATCACAATGGCTTGTTTGCTTTGCAATGTGCCGTGATTACCAAAACGAAAAGTGACATGGCATGGACACCTGGTGATTTGGCTACGGATGCTAGGTTGCAAGTGTTCTAATAACCCTGGAACCAAATTACTCCCTATGACCGTCTTTGTGGCCCCAAGATCAACTATCCCAAAGCTACCATGCGAGGCAAAACAAACGGAATCCAACTCAGGCATCTCAGGAGTGATGGCAGGCACAGGCGGATGGGCTCTCTGCTGCAATCGGAGTCGCCAATCAGGTCTTGGCTCATCAGTCCTGGTCACGGTCGGCCGTGATTCTTGCATGTGTTGCCATCGGTTGAGGGAATTCCTCAGATTATTTCGGGTATTATCTTGGGATATGGCCGCGAAAACTTCCCCAAAACTATACTGAGTGGCATCCAACGTAGTTCCATCATGAATTGGCAGGTTCAGGAATTCCATAGGCAGTCCGTCATGCTGGTCAGCATCCACGGTGGCAACTTGCACGAATGATGTGGGTGCTTGAGACCCTCGATTGGTTGATGCACTTGGATCGCCACGACTCGGGCACTCGGCTTTCCAATGCCCAACCTTTCCACACAAACGGCAACGTGACTCTAGGATTCTCTGCTGCAGTGACTTTCTGGAGGACTGGTGGCCCTTGGTGAACCTTCCTTTGACCCCTTTCTGGAACCCTTTTCCCCGGCCCTTTTGACCAATAGGCCAGAATCCACGGTTGCGGACTTTGTCATTGAGGCGGCGTCTGGCGTCATGGTACGCCGTGTAGGCAGCTGCTAGCTCATCATCATTCTGGAGCAACTCACTTGCTGCGGCCTCAAAGTCGGCCACAAGTGACGCATCTTCGTCACCCTCCTGGGCAAGAGCGGCGACCACTTGGTCATCATCCTCCTCCATGGTTTCCATCGACAAGGTCGGTTGGTCAGGTTCAGCCTCGTCCATCTCATCAGCCATCAAGGCCGTCTGATCATAGGTTTTCAACTTCGTTGTCTTACGTCCAGCGGTCATCTCATGGAAAAAACCAGCGCCCAGCATCCTGATAGCTGAGCTCACCTTGTCAACGGTCAGTGATCCCTTGTTGGCTGCGTCTGCATCCAAAAGAACTCGCTTTTTGTCCTCCGCGGATAACGTCGATCCACGAAGAGTGACATAGGCTTGTAGATCACTGAGTTGAAACTTACGGCTATTCAGTTCTGTCCACATGATGTCAGCTCGCGCCAGGAAACTGTCTGCGCTTTCATCGGATTTTGTTGGCACCTGTACAATGCCCTCTCGGCATACTCATAGCGTTGCTCAAGGTCAATCTGACCCCAGTGGCTTCCCAACAGCTCTAGGATTTTCAGAATTGATTTTCGGTCATTCTGAGTCACCTCGGTCTGGTGTAATTGCAACTTCTTGAAAGCTGATCCACTGCTGTTCAGAATCAGGCGAGTAGCTAGTTCTGTGTATTTTCCAGTAGGCCAGGCCTCCAAAAGCAACATCACCTTTTGAGAGTACACCTGTAAGTCATCCTTGCTAGGGTCATATGACGGCACAAGGATGGCCAGTTGGTTCGGGACATTGGTAGGTCCTTCTGATGACTCCGTCATGGGCTGCGATCGAGCAGCAGGTTCTTCGGCTTCCCCTGGATTTTCCGTCTTGTGGTAACGGATGCTCCGCTACCAGTGTAGTTGGTCTTAGACCTAACCACCTGGTAGCTTCCAGCAAGATCTTCCACCTGAATGCGCTCTCTTCTCTTTTTGGATCCGCCACAAAAGTCTCGGCTACAAGGTTTTCCAAGCTGAGCAGAAATGGGATTGCAAAGGGCTATGGTGCCCCAGTTGACCAGTGAGAGCCCCTGGCTCTGATGGACGTCCTCGCCCAGCCGAAGGTAAACAGCTATGGCTTCCAAGCACTTATGAATCCCGCCCTCTATCCACTCCTTGGCTTCCCTGAGCCTCAAGTGCTAACGGTATCCCATGAGGTTTTGTTGAACGTGAAAAACACCTGGCAGGTTGAGGACATGAATTGCAAGGCTCTCTATGAGGTACTGCAATGATGTGGATTCACACTATATCTATATCTATATCTATATCTATATCTTTCTATATCTATATCTATATATCTATCTCTATCTATCTCTATCTATCTATCTATATCTATATCTATATCTATCTATATCCATCTATAGCTATCTATCTCTAGCTATCTCTATATCTATATCTCTCTATATCTATCTATCTCTATCTCTATCTATCTCTATATCTCTTTCTATTTCTATCTCTATCTATATATATATATATCTCTATATCTATATCTATATCTATGTCTCTATCTATCTCTCTATCTACCTCTATCTATCTACCTCTATCTATCTATCTATCTATCTTTCTAACTATCTATCTATTTATCTATCTATCTATCTACCTATCTATCTATCTATCTATCTATCTATCTATCTAATCTATCTAATCTATCTAATCTATCTAATCTATCTAATCTATCTAATCTATATAATTTATCTAATCTATCTAATCTATCTAATCTATCTAATCTATCTAATCTATCTCATCTATCTCATCTATCTATCTATCTACCTATCTACCTATCTACCTATCTACCTATCTACCTATCTATCTATCTATCTATCTATCTTTCTATCTATATATATATATATCTATATATCTATATATCTATCTTATTTTATCTTATCTTATCTTATCTATCTACTCTGCTCTACCCTACTTGTACCCTATCCAATCCCAATCCTTATCCTTATCCTAATCGCAATCCTATCCTATCCTATCTATTTGTTTGTCCATTGTCTCCCATGGTAATCACTTAAGTTCCCACTGTGCCTAACACAGGTTGCATAATTTCATGATAGTATAATTATATAATATATATATATATTATTCCATTGTATTATAATGTATTATATATCCAAAAGTTTCCATCATATCCTCATGTGTGTTTCTGAATTGCGATATATGATATATATATATATATATAGCATGTTTTTTTGGAAAGACATATCAAATGACATCCTTTTTTACATCGATATCCGCATGATGTTATCCCCAAAAACAGGGAAGCGGCCCGCTTCCCATCCAGGTGGCCTTGGTCGGCTTCTCGGGAAGCGGAAAGTCCACCGTGATTCAGCTGCTCCAGCGCTTCTATGACCCTCAGGCGGCTGGTTATCTAAAAACGCCAGATTTCATGCTATTTCATGCTATTTCCATCTATTTCCCAGGAAATCAACACACATTGGGGAACATCAACCAGACATACCAGACCAAACAATAACTGGTTGGTGGTTGACCTACCCCTCTCAAAAATGATGGAGTTCGTCAGTTGCGATAATGACATTCCCAACTGAATGGAAAGTCATAAACAATGTTCCAGTCACCACCAACCAGATATACGAATTACACGGGCTTAGTGTATATGTAGCTTACTGTATAGCTGTATAACCCCCATTTTGCTAGCGAAATCTAACACAGATGGCTGAGAAACTTAGTGGGCCAACATCCTGGTGTATGATGTATAGTATAGAAGAGCTCACCAAAGATGTTCGCAGATGCTGAACTTTCCCATAGAATTGGAGATTTCAATTTTGCCTCACCTGCCAGGTGAGGGTCTCTAGATCTTAACAAAGGCGTCGATTTGAACAAAGGTGTCCCGGCCTCACTCGCTCCTACTCACTCCTTTCCTCCTTCCTTGTCCTCTCCTCGTCTACCCCTTTGCCAGTTCGTCGCCGAACCCTATCGCAAGCTCCGGATGCAGTGGAGCACGCCTGGATGCCAGAAAGAATGCCAGAATGGATGCCAGAATATATGTCAGATAGAACGCCAGATAGGATGTCAAAAAATATGTCAGATAGAATGTCAGTTGGTGGGGGCTCACTGGAAGAAAGTAATTTGCGTCATGGAGCTGTCACAGAGTTGTCAGGCCAAAGTGAAGCAACTGTGGAGGATCTAGCAAGTTCCAACTCAACAAATCATACATGACTTTTTTCCTTTGGTTGGTTGATGAAAATAGAGGGGTAGAGGGGTAATTTTTATTCATTTTCCATTCAACAGGCAATACTCTCTAGGGAACAAACGTATCCACTTTTTTTGTGGATTTTTTTTTTTTCGGATACGTTAGCTGCTGTGAACATAGGCTATGATAAATACCCTATACTTGAGACATGTTAGTTGAAAATCCAGAATGGACATGTTAGTGGAAAAGTTGTCCCCCCCTCTGGGGGTTCCCCGGAAACTGCCAGAAGACTACCGCCCCGGACCCCAGCATCCTTATTTCCAGACCCCAATAGGGCTCAAATCAAAGACCGCATTGATAACAAAACGGTGGAGAAAAAAGGGGCCCCAACTCCTTCCGGAAGAGCGCATCATAGATGATGCTCGTGGGTGGGCAAGAAGATTGGGGGTGCATTCCAAAAACCAGTTGCATTTAGTAAGGGTTGGATGACTAGCCACGGAAAGCGCCCACCTAACGTGTCCGTGTTGTTCAGAGGATGTGGTTTTGAGATATGTGAGTGGTTATTGGCTGAATCTATCCCCCCAAAATAGCGAACATATCCCAGATCAGGGTCGAAATCCAAGGGCCCCAATTGCAGGAACTGAGACATGTTAGCTGTTTTTGGGTCAATGGTCCCCAAAAAAGTTGCAATGCATTCCCCAGGAAATCCAAGAAAACGCCGGTACCGAGTGGACATGTTAGTTGGTTGATACCTGAAACGGTAGCCCGAGACACGTATCCACTTTTTTTGTGTTTGTTTTTGGATACGTTAGCTGCTGTGAACATAGGCTATGATAAATGCCCTATACTTGAGACATGTTAGCTGAAAATCCAGAATGGGCACGGTAGTGGAAAAGTTGTCCCCCCCTCTGGGGGTTCCCGGGAAACTGCCAGAAGACTACCGCCCCGGACGCCCCAGCATCCTTATTTCCAGACCCCAATAGGGCTCAAATCAAAGACCGCATTGATAACAAAACGGTGGAGAAAAAAGGGGCCCCAACTCCTTCCGGAAGAGCGCATCATTGATGATGCTCGTGGGTGGACAGGAAGATTGGGGGTGCATTCCAAAAACCAGTTGCATTTAGTAAGGGTTGGATGACTGGCCACGGAAAGCGCCCACCTAACGTGTCCGTGTTGTTCAGAGGATGTGGTTTTGAGATATGTGAGTGGTTATTGGCTGAATCTATCCCCCCAAAATAGCGAACATATCCCAGATCAGGGTCGAAATCCAAGGGCCCCAATTGCAGGAACTGAGACATGTTAGCTGTTTTTGGGTCAATGGTCCCCAAAAAAGTTGCAATGCATTCCCCAGGAAATCCAGGAAAACGCCGGTACCGAGTGGACATGTTAGTTCATACCTGAAACGGTAGCCCGAGATACGTATCCACTTTTTTTGTGGATTTTTCTTTGGATACTTTAGCTGCTGTGAGCATAGGCTATGATAAATGCCCTATACTTGAGACATGTTAGCTGAAAATCCAGAATGGACACCGGACACGTTAGTGGAAAAGTTGTCCCCCCCCTCTGGGGGTTCCCGGGAAACTGCCAGAAGACTACCGCCCCGGACCCCAGCATCCTTATTTCCAGACCCCAATAGGGCTCAAATCAAAGACTGCATTGATAACAAAACAGAAAGAAAGGGCCCCAACTCCTTCCGGAAGAGCGCATCATAGATGATGCTCGTGGGTGGGCAAGAAGATTGGGGGTGCATTCCAAAAACCAGTTGCATTTAGTAAGGGTTGGATGACTAGCCACGGAAAGCGCCCACCTAACGTGTCCGTGTTGTTCAGAGGATGTGGTTTTGAGATATGTGAGTGGTTATTGGCTGAATCATCCCCCCAAAATAGCGAACATATCCCAGAGCAGGGTCGAAATCCAAGGGCCCCAATTGCAGGAACTGAGACATGTTAGCTGTTTTTGGGTCAATGTGTAAAAAAACAAGTTGCAATGCATTCCCCAGGAAAACGCCGATATAAAGTGGACATGTTAGTTCATACCTGAAACGGTAGCCTGAGACACGTTTGTTCCCGGGAGTGTAGGTAGAATAAACATTTAATTCAATGGTATCCAAGGCGACCCAGCTACTACCGGTCTAACTTGTAACGCATTTCCAGGCCATGTGCCAAAGGTAAGTGCAGAGAAAAAACAATCCTGTGGAACAGATTTTCCAACTGAACATGGGAATGAAAATGCGATGCTATGGTTGGCTCCTGCTGATTCATATAGAGCACATCCATTTGGGCATAGGGGTCTTCACAATTCTTCACACTCTATTTGAGTATAGTTCCTAAGCATGACCCATTCTGTGATATTGTGTGTGCGCCCAGGACAGAACCCCCTTTGGCCCATTGGCCCCTTGCCCCCACAACTTCCAGGTAGACATTGATGAGTGATCAATGAGTCCATTTTGAGCCATAAATGGACGAGAATGAACTGTCTGAATGGGTATGAGAATCCCGCATTATACCATTTTTGTTGTTGGGTATCCAAAAGGGTCAATGATGACAGTGGACTGCGCAGGGTGGGTGTATCCTCGTCGGTGGGCAGAACTTGCGCAACTTCAAACTCGCCTGGTGGCGGCGCAACATTGGCATGGTGAGCCAGGAGGGGTTGGCTGCTCTCCAGTGGTTATAGGGATGTTATAGGGATGTTTTTGGAGCCGTATGAGCATCCTCCACACATTGGGAGCCACGAAGCTACCTTCAGAGTTTCCCAACTGATGGTGAGAAACATCACCGCGTCCTATAACGGGTAATCTGGTGATGCTCCTTATCATTGAGACCTACGGGCCGTATAGCATGACACTGTATTTGGTGGTTAGGAGGGAGCTATATGAGGCGGATGGGCGGTATTCATATCTGAAATTCATACACAATTAATCACAATTACATATTCCCTATTGAATGGGAGCCAGGGAACTACCAAAGATTTCCCAACCCCATTTTGGTTACACCTGGTCAATTTATGTTCAAATTTAACATAGAACCTGAAAACTGGGGGCCCAAAGATGATTCTGAGCATTGTGATATATCCTAGCAACATGTTTATATGTTTGTCCCCATGACCGGACCAGACAATGTTTGATGATTTTTGTGAATTTCTGTCTCAAGGAGCCGGTCCTGTTCGACATGTCATTGGAAGAGACCCTCGGCCCAACGGTCGGACAAGGGTTTTTTCTGGGGGTTGTTCAACCAGCCGCAACGGGCAAAATTCGTCCACAGTAGAGGAGTTTTGCCCACGGATATGGTGACGGTGACACAATCTTAATATATCTCAATTATATAGTTATTCGATGTACAGATGTGGTAAACTTCAAGGTGGACCCAGGCACATCAACTTTGATTTACTTTGCTGGTGGTTATTTTTTTTTGTTCAAAACCATCCCATGCCAGATGATCCTAACCGGCTACTGGACGTGTTGAAACCCAGGGATAAGATCAAGGAAAGGAGATATGTTTGACGGGTTTACTGTCCGAATCCAATTCTGGAATGGCCCCCAACCACCTTTTTTTTTTTTTTTGTCTTTACTCACCCTGACTCACAATGCGATGTCCATGCTGCTTGTTGATGCTTGTTGCAAGGAACGTGAAATATGGATATCCTGAAGCGCCTTGCGCCAGAGGTTTGGGTAGGGAAAGTACTCTAATGAGGTTGCCTAATGTTTCATAGGACATCCATTTTTGCAGATGTAGCACGTACACGCATGTATACACACATAAATCATACATATGTCCCACATATGCCACATATAATAAGATACAAGACAGGATACATAATTTCTAGATATAGGACATGTAGTACATACATGTCGTATTGTGATAACTCATGTAGATCTATAAAGTATATTCATTTTTTAGATACATGATACATGTTTTGTTTTTAAGAATAGGTACACATAAGTACCGTGTAATACGCAAGTTGGCACTGAGCCTGCGTCATACAGCAGCAAAATTGGGAATCGGACGCGGTGCCCTGAGAGTCCAGGGTGATGTTCTGGCGGGACAGTCATCAAGACATCAAGATCTCTGGAGTATGACCTGGACATTTAAAATCAAGAACCGATAAAAATCCATGAAAGCATATCGCTATGCATCAAAGCTCTGGTACCCTGTTCATACCAAACATGACTTGGAGGTTCATACAAATACATACAAATACAGCATCATAAGTCTTGACAAAATTCCCCAGAATCTCAGTGTGTTTGTGGTCCGGATCTGACGAATCCCTTCACAAACAAAACCCCGAAGGAATGTATTGGATCTTGTCCAATCGTAATCCCATACCTGTCACCCAATTCATGCCATTTCCAGGGTTTGGGGATATTCAGGATTCTTTTTTGAAAAAGATGATTTGCAGGAAAGCCTTACATTTGGGGCCAAAAGCGGCATTTGTTTTCCTGTAGATGGTCCCTAAACAAAATGTCTAGATATACTGGTATACTATACTAATACAACTATATACCAATTTCTTGATAGTTTTTCCTGACAAACAAACAACACGTTTTGATGCTTAACCTCTCTACGACCAGGTGCTTTGGATGATTTTGCCCAGCCCCAAACACATCAACCATTAAGTATACCATTGATATTATATTTAAGTCATGTTAATTTTGTATAGTCTTCTTGCGGTTTTCTTAGGTTTTTTTCCCTCTTAACCACAAGCTGTCAATGGGATGGTTTTCCAGCCTGGCGCCGCCTAGGCAACCCCTTCACAGGTGCAGGACGCAGCGCGCATCGCACACATGGAGTACGCCTTCAACGGCACCGTGTGGCTTGGCTAAAAACCGGTGACCGGTTCCCAGGTGATTCAGCTGGTAGCTTCATGGAAGTAACATGAAGTAACCTTGGTTATGGTTGGCTTATGTTGGCTTAAAGTCGTATCGTACTGTGAAGTTTAATGTGGGTTGATTGGCTTTCCATTAGTTTCGGTGATACTTTTTTTGAGGTCGTTAAACGGAGGGTCTCAATCTTTTCCATTTGTGGTGAGTCATGGGAGATTGTTTATTCAATTAGGAAAATTATGTAACTATTGCTGGCTCTATAAATTGTTGGCGGGAGAATTCTTGAAGGCACAGAGGAGCAACCATGAACCGCGGGGATGCGTCCAATGGTTTGTTGCTATGCCACACGGGGACACATGATGAATGCCAAGCGATCACCTTCGAGATGGTTACCTCAGAAACCTCAGCAAGGCTAGGTCAGCTATGGTCAGCTAAGCCTCCCCGATCCTAAAGCAAAATAGACAAGGACATCGATGGCTTCCCCTGGCACTGGGATAATAATCTACAAATGTTCATTTTGGTTGTGGCTACTTACTACCACCCATTCTATCTTCATTTCATCGTGCATTTCAACAGTGGCTCAGCTACGAATTGTTCTATCTCATTTTAGGGGGGGATACCTCAAAATTGCCTTATTAATCGGGAGCATACATACTGATAAACCGTATCGGTTTGGCTGGACATAGCCTTTGGTAATTTACAGTAATTTGGCCGTGAAAAAAGTACCCATTTAACTTTAAGCATTTGAGCCACTCTAAAAACCTCCCTTTACATTCTCAGTAAGGACCTTGTCATAACGCGTTTGGCGTAAGCAAAACCCTCACTTGCGTAAGGCCGCGTAAGGACTTCGCGTAAGGGTTTCCTCAATTTGCTTCGCGTAAGGAACAATTTTACGCGCGTAAGCATGGCGTAAGCTATGGCGTACCCAAAATGATACGACATAGGTTTTCAGAATAGCTCATTTGTAGATGATCTAAGCTAGCCAAAAGACCTTTTTTCCATAGTTATCTTAGATTTGCGGAGGGTAAAGCATCTGGCTTTGGGATGGTTTGGGTATGCCCAATGGGAAGAGACATCCGACATGGCCAAGGAAATGGACGGACCGCGTGGGGCTTCGTGGCGACGCTGGGCCAGCGCCGGGTAGGGTGCCCCTAAATCCACACGTCGTGACCTCACTGGAATCATTGTTAGTAACGGGTCCCCAAATGTCATTAGCGGACAGATATGGACAGGTTAGTGTAATATTGCCTTTTCATCATTATCCTTATGAAAAGGCAATGTTTGGAGTATACTAGCCATAGCCATTGTCAGACACATCTACATATCATACGATTGGTTATGTTATAGTTCCTATATAACAATTGCACTTTGGGGATGTATACCACATTCTCAAGCACACCCACGTGAAAATCAGGTGGATGGTAAATGTTGGTAGATGTTGGCCTTTTTGCATTGTTTTTCTCTCGTTGCATGCCCATAGCATTCCATATACTAGGCGACTGTAACGATGGGGCATCGTTTACAAGTGCTCATAGACATGCAGATACTCTACATAGATTCAATAATCTTTGGACCACCACAGAATTGGTAGTTAGAAGGGAACCACTGCAAAATTGGTTTGCTTCAGTTTTGTCCAAGACTTTATTCAATCTTTCTCATGTAATTACACAGTTGAATTGCAAGGGCCGAGGTTCAATTTTTGGGAAAATTTCCTATATTTTCATATATTTTCCACATGTGTTATATATGTTTACACATTCACTTATTTTGCTATGTATATATATATATATACCGTTAAAAAAAAAAGTTAGAATGCGGGTTCGCTTCGCGTGATGGTGGCCCGTTTGGCCCCCCCCACGGCGGGCGCATTCTAAATATACATACGTGTATATATATATATATACCCGACGAAATCATAATATGATGATATAAAATATATGTATATGAAAAAATGTTTCTATGTGTAAAATTAATTTTTGTTATATATATATATATAATATGCGTGTGCTATACATGAGATGGTTTCACAAATCCAACATCCATAGCCCCCAAAAAAAACATCGAGGAAAAGCTCAGCGGCGGTCAGAAGCAGCGCTGTGCCATTGCTCGAGCTTTGTTGCGACGTCCGCAGATCTTGCTGCTGGATGAGGCACCTGCGACCTGGGTCACTTCATCCATTTTCATCCAATGGTGTCATCTGGTGATGAACACAAATAGCTGGTCAAGGAACATATAACATGATGTACATGACGTTCTTCTCCCCAAAATATGGTATAGCTTTGGACCTATCTACAAATGCTTTTCTTGAAGAGTTTTTAGACATGCGCACATAGGGTGTTGGGAGTTGATTTAGGTATCTATTGGTTTATCAATTGAATATACATAGATAAATAGATAGATAGATAGATAGATAAATAGATAGATAGATAGATAGATAGACAGACAGATAGATAGATAGGTAGGTAGGATAGGTAAGATAGATAGGGTAGATAGGAAATATAGGAAAGATAGATAGATAAATAAGATAAGATAAGATAAGATAGAATAAGATAAGATGGATCGATAGATAGATAGATAGATAGTTAGAAAGATAGATAGATATAGATATAGATAGATGGATATTGATAGATAGATATAGATAGATATAGATAGATTTAGATATAGATAGATATAGATAGATATAGATAAATAAATATATATATATATAGATAGATAGATATCGATAGATATAGATTATATATATATAGATAGATAGATATGGATAGATATAGATAGATATAGATAGATATAGATTTATATATATATATTTAAATATATATATATATAGATATAGGTAGATATAGATTGATATAGATAGATATAGGTAGATATAGATATATATAGATATAGATTGATATAGATAGATAGATATAGATAGATATAGATAGATATAGGTAGATATAGATAGATATAGATAGATAGATATAGATAGATATAGATAGATATAGATAGAGATAGATAGATATAGATAGAGATAGATCGAGATAGATAGAGATAGATAGATCGATAGATAGATAGATAAATAGATAGAATGAAATATAGGGGTATCGTTTTGCAGACAAATGGGATTGGGTTACGGATGATTCTTTACGGGGTTTCTCTGAGGATCATTGAATCTAAGCCCATGGTGACCTGAAGATATTTGAAACCAATATTTCTTCCATACATACCATAAAGGTATATAAAGGTAATATATAGTGATGTGTTCTTTTGTTTTTACTGCATGTGTCTTTGCAATTGTTTGCTAGGGAGAAACGAAATGTCCATTCTACTTGTCCTTGTTCGCAATATATTGGATATATATATATATACATACATTAATGTATAGGAATTGCTTGAGGGGTAGTATGTCTCCTTGGGCATAAAAGTGATGATTTGATACATAGTTTCCCCTTTGTGTCCGGACTTGGAGGTTGCGCTCTCCTTCAATCCTTTGATTCTACAGCTGCCCGCTGTTTCAAGCAGGGCTTTGTTGGAAGATAGGGCACCCCAAATTGGACGATTCATCATAGTACTGTCCCTACTCAAATGGGAACAGGTTGCCATAAACTGGGGTAACACCGAGTAACACATCGTTTTTGGGCAAACCCTTAGCATATTGTTGCGTACAAACTCATTACTCAGTATATCCCATCGTATCCTCATGAATCAAATGGTTGGCTTCAGTGTGTTTGGTCGGTATAACAATTAGGAACGGTACACTGAAATGAAATCCCTACTTGGCCCTGCTTCTGATATGTCGATCCTATTTTTTCCAGCTCTATCTCCCACGTGCCACATATCTGACAAATGTCGTACCATATCCCTTCCCCACAAGATCCCCACCTGATATCAGGAAGGTGTATCATATACATCATATACATCATATACATCATATACATCATATACATCATATACATCATATACATCATATACATCATATACATCATATATCAGGAAGGTCTCCCGCCATCTCCCCCTGCCAGGCCACGAGTGCGTTGGACTCGCACTCAGAACGCCTGGTACAAGATGCCATGCAGGACGAGCGTCCGCCATAGCGTCCGCCATTTTGTCATGGGAAAATCTGGGCCGAACATATGGGAAAAACCATGGAAAATCTGGGAAAATATGGGGGACATCTATGGAAAACCATGGAAAACCAACGGATGATGATTAATAGAGGTTTCTCTAGGAAATTCCATGGGAAAATCAATGTAGATTGGTGTGATTTTGCCGCCAAGTTTGATGACACCGGAGGGTATACCATGGGGGTGTAGCTAACAATGTGGGGACATGATGGGGACATGGGGATAGAATGGGAAGAACCCCAAGTAACATGGAGAGCCCTGCCATTTCGAGGCATCAAATATGTTCGGTTCTCTAAGGTTTTTTTTTTTTAATTTGGGGGAGGTTACCATTGGGAGAATCGATGAGAATCGTGAATTTCAAGGGTGAGTGAAATGTGTTATGATTCAAATGATGAAGAAAACTTCCATGGGTCGAGGGACCCTTGTGACTTAGATGGTGAGTTTGTTTAACAGTCAGTTCGATGGCGAGTAAATGGATTAGAGTTCTCCAATGGGAAGAGAGTAAATAATAGGCCATCCCCACAATCACCATAAATGGGTTGTATACATCTACCATCTTCAAATGGTAGGTTTATTCTTGGCTTGCCCACATTAGATGATGAGCAAATGGGCTTACTTGCTGATCAATGGGATATCTCATATCGACCCAGACATGTCTGATATATGTTTTTCAGGACGCTCGTGTGGGCAAGACCACCATCACGGTGGCGCATCGCCTGTCAACCATACGGAGCGCAGTGGCCTGACCGCATGCGAAACGATGGAATGTGAACCATCAAAATATGGATGTGATATGATTTGATTGGGATCATGGGAGAATAAGCGTACATCATAGGATTGATTCTTGGGATTTACTTTGGACACTGGAGGTTGGAGCAACCAAAATGGGAAGTTAACCATCAAAAAGTGAGGATTTGGGGGATTTGGACTATCAGAAGTCAAGACTCTGAATGGGATTTGGCCATTAGCCAAATGATTTTTGCAAAGAAACTATTCAATATCCGGGGGTCGAGGGACATACATGGACATACATCATTCTTTCATGTGGGATTGCCAAAATTGGATGTGAAGAATGTGGATTTGTGCTTTGCCCTCATTGAACTGGGGAACATCCTGGTTTTGACGGCCGTGTGCCGAAGATCATGGTAGTCACCAATGAGATCATCGGATTAGTACATCAAGGTTTTTTCCAAGTTTGGGATTGCAACGAACACACATGGGAACTGAAATACACATGACTAGTTGGGGGTTGTTTGTTTTTTCCCTGTTTGGAATGATGAGCCCAGTCGTCAGGCACTTCATGCGTTGAAAGAAGCGATTACCGCCCCTGAAATGATAATTATGCCATATGATATTCCCTTGTTGGTAAACTTCTTTACTTGTTCATTGGCTCCAACGTTTCCAACTGAGTTTTTTGTTGTTTTCCATGATGTCTTGATATACTTTACAGATATCATCATCATCATCATCATCATAATATATAATTATATATAATTGAATTAGATTGTCCGCAGTCCGGACCTGCCGTTCATTTCGTTTAAGTCTTCCTGACGCGACCTTCTGAGGACATGATCTTGGTGTTGAATGGGGGCGGCTTGGCGGATGGATGGCTTGTTGGATTTCGCGTATTCGACACGGACCCAACTGTTGTTTTTGAGACTATCACCATGTACATTTGGTGGGTTCCATAAATGGGTGTATCCCAATAGCTGGTTGGTTTATAATGGAACATCCAATTAAAATGCATGATTTAGGGGTACATCCATTTTAGTTAGTCAATAGATTCTGGTTGATTAAATGAACCCATGTTTGACCAAGTGTTTGGTGTGAGCCCTTTTGGCGGGGTGGTGCTTGAGCCGCTGATCTGGACCAAACATGGGGCGATAAAAACACCTTGCGGTAACGCCACCAGCGAGTAGAGTTATGTTATGAGATCAAGACGACGGCAACATGTTTGAACAGCCATAGTAAGGGATGCAGATCTACCGGAAAGATTGTCTATGGATATGGTATGATATGGTCTCTCTCGCTGCAGGAGCTAGAAAACGCGTCTCAGGAAGACTGGTAAGGAATGCAGATTCGGCTTGGAATACCGCTTGAATCGAATGTATTTGATCTCTTCATATTTAGAGGTTTCCTGAAATTAGGGGTACCCCTAAATCATCCATGTTAAATCATTTTATTTTACTAAGATGTTCCATATTAAACCATCCACTTTTGGGATTCCCCATTGATGGAAACCCCTATTTTTTCCGGGGCCCTAGTTCCGCGGGTCGACCAGTGTCCCATGATGTCCCATGGAGCCCGGCTGGGACGCTTGAGGTAAATTGGTGGAACGAGGAACCTACTCCGAACTCTTGGATTTGCAAAGAGAACTTCTGGGAATTTGAGATGGCCATATTATTTAATATACTTCACTGGTTTGTGGTCTCAAACATGACTTTTATTTTCCATAATATATGAGATAATCATCCCAACTGACGAACTCCATCATTTTTCAGAGGGGTAGGTATACCACCAACCAGATATAGTATGCAGTCCATGGTTCGTTTCTTATTGGTTAATCCACCAGGTGGGGAATCTACTGGTACCTGGGGATAGTTCTCTTTGGTCTCAAGCCAATCCATACGAAAATCTCCTGGTAGATCACCAATTGCAAGCTACTCATCGAATTCTGGTTAAAAGAAACGGAGCTACTCAACAAACTGGATAGGGGATAGGGGTAACTATTCCCAAAATAGTCTTACATGTTATTTCAGGCTGAACAATTACAACTCAGAACTGTCGCACCAAGGAACTGATTGCCTTGGAAGGTGCCTTTAGCAAACTGGCGCGGAGTTTGTGAGTCGCCGGAAGGACGTGAAGCGACACGTCTGGGCCCCTGGTGGCTTGAAATACTCATCAAATGGTGGCTGAACAGCAGCCCCGGCCCGCGGCGCAGCACCTCTAGGGTCGGGAGACCCATGGTATCATTTACAGTAGCTATACATGACCAACTACGTCCAGTAGATAGGTAATCTGGTTTATTGATAGTGCCAAGTGGGATTAATGCACGTATAATTCCACGTGTTCTTGTTTTATATATATATAAATATATGTCTATCTATCTATCTATCTACCTACCTATCTA